TCATCTTTTTAAGTGGGAGAACTTGCACAATTGGTGGCTGACTAAATACTTTTTTGCCCCACTGTATATACACGCATGATCACCGTACAAAACTCCTGTGCAGTGTGTCCTGCTTCCCCACATTTTCAGTAAAGTGAACTCCAGCTTAAACCAATTCTGGAGATTTCTCTCTCCCAGTGAAAGTGTGCATGTATCATACTTGTATTTGCATATGTATGTTTGGGTGTATACCTGTGTAGTAGACCCAACTGATGATAGGCTGGAGGTATCAAAGCCCATCTCCCAGAAGCCTGGGTCTTTAACCCAGGTCTCACCTCCTGCTTTGTGTTAACCTAGCATACTTCCCCCCAACCCTTTATATGAGAGAGAGAGAGAGCTCTCACATCCTGTTTTGCTTGTCTAGTGATTCATTTCTGTAATGTAACCCCTGGATTTATAGTTTAAAGACATGTGGCTAGAAGATTCAGCTCTTCCTTGGAGCTAGACCAATCTCACAAGAGTTAGAAAAGTCAAACTTCTATTTTTTTAAAAAAAGATAAAATATAAAACCCCTCTTGACTTTAAATATCTGCAATATAGACATTCAGTAATGAAGATGAATTACAGAGCTATTCATATTATAGGAAAACAGCAGTTTGATTAAAAAAGAAAATTTGCAAAGAAACTATAATACTCCCACCAGATCACAATATGACACTGGTCTCATACAAATAGCTTATTACTGCCCTAAACAGATAGACTGGAGAGTTCCATGTTAATATTATAGTTCATAAAAGATAAACAGCTTATCTTCATGCATACCCTGAGGTATGTTGCAAAGCTGACATAAAACACAATTTTGTAATTTGTACAGAGAAATAGAGACAATTTTCATTACACAGAAAAAGAAAAAAAATATGCAAATTTCTGTTAGGCTTTTAAACCATTTATTTTTCCTGAATTCACATTATGGGAAGCATCTATTCCTCTGCTTCAATTTTCTTGGACTTCCCACTTCCTGGAGATTCCAGGAAGGTTAAATCTGAGGTTATAGGATAGATGGAAAGAACAGTTTCCCTAACCTTAGTGTACAGCTTTTGCATTTTTAAAAATTCTGCTCCTAGAATTAAAATAAGCCAAGTTTTTCTCTATATTCAGGAACGGGAGGGCTGAGGTAGTCTGACTCTGGACCCTAGCACAAGGACAGGCCACCTACCATTTGGGGGGCGGGGGGGCAAGAATGGATTATGTCATCCTCAACTCACCCCCAGCCTGCTGTGAATACCATCCAAGTTTCCTGGTTCTGCATCCTGTGCAGACTCTTCTAGTTGGCTGGTGTGTGCTTTGGGGGGCATGCCCCCAGTCCCCAGCTATCTGCCTTTGACATTATTTCATATTGCTAAGATGCCTGCCATGAAAGGCTGGACTTTTAAAAAACTGATTTAGTAATGAAAAGGTGAAATGGTGGCTGCTGATTGGTCCTCCTCCTTAGGTGTTGCAAAAGGATTAAATTCATGTGACAAGCAACCCCTGCCAAGGAGTGGCTAATTTTCAGCGGCATCCATTCTTTTCAGCAGGGATGTTTCCTGGCATTGTGACTCTTGTGTTCCTTTCAACAGAAAGTACGGGTGGACACTTCCATAATTCACGGGTAATTGGGAAAACAGAACTTACTGCTCTTCTACCAGAATATATGGCAGTTGTGAATAAGCTTGGTAAAGTAGCCTTCCCCAAGTTGTGTCTTTAGAGTGTGTAACTCCTGGCTCTGCAAAGTAGCTTCCCAATCAGCATTGCCACAGCTTCAGTATAAGCTGAAGAAATGGTCATAGTTTTACCAAATTTACTTGTTTGTTGGCCAGAATATTTTTGACCAATGCATAAAGATTCCTGCCTTCCTTGTCTTCTTTGTAACCAAAGAGCTATTGGAAATAATTTGTTCTTCAACACGAGCCTGTTTATTTGAGAATGTTAGCTAAAGTGCACTTCTACTTTCTTCTCTTTCCAACCAATGTAAATAATTTACATAACTTCTTTAAATGCAAATATTTTTCCATCCCCATGATAGAATTGGAAGAAGCTTTTGGGGCCACCCAACCCCTTGGTCAGTGCAAGAATCTAGATTAAAGTATTTGTATCAGATGTCTATCCAGCTTCTACTTGAACACATCCAGCGAACCAGAGCTTACCACCTCTTTCAGTAATTGGTCCCAGTGTCAAAATGTTGTTACCGTTACAATTTTCATTTTAACATTTAAAAGGAATCTGTCTTCCTGTAAGTAAATCCATTTCTCATATCCTGCACTCTAGGACAGTGGATAATAGCCTTCTCCTATGTGAATCCCTTTAAGTATTTGAAGCGTGTTATCAATCCCCTCCCCAGCTGGCTTCCTTCAACTCATATTTCAACATCGTATCTGAAATTTTAGTTCTGTCTTCTTCCATATTTAAAAACATTGGAAATGAAATTGGCAGTTTTATGCATGTAAATCTATCTGTCCATCCATCCACCCACTTGTACACAAATACACCCAAACACGCATACATATATAAAGCAGAGAAAGAATGAAATAAATCGGAAAGCCTGAATGAAAAAAAAGGAAAGGAAATAAGAAAAGTTGCTGTCTCAACACACAGGCCTGCTGCTTACACTTCTATTTTCAGGTGCTGATTTAAATCTGCCCTGCTTTGTCAGTAGCTGTCCTTTGATCTCAGTTTTATTTAATTTTAAAACACTGTTTATGTCTTATTTTTTTTAACGCAGAACTTAGAATGTAGCTTTCTTTGAAGATCAGGTGGGGGAAAGTCAAGGATCTTTCCAATCAGTAAATAATTAACAAAACCCCTTTTCCTCTTATTATCAAAGAGGAAATATAAATATACAATTTTTTATTGTAAAACAGTAGGAAGACTGGGTACCAGTCCAGAAGACTGTCTGTACCCCCAAGAGAGACCAAGCCAAAGGATGGCTGAGACTGAGGGTAGCTAAGTAAGTTCCTCAATTCATGAAGAAAAACATCAGCTCAAGACCACGCATGTTTTGTTTGTGGGCCCCTTATGTTGTTTTCTTTGTAGACTACAGATGTGCAACCAGCAGTTCCCCAAAGCCTTGGCTATGCCCCCCAGAAAACTAAGAAGCAGCCCTCAGAAAACACCAAAAATTGCTACCAAATGATAACAGTGGTAATTTTTAATGTGACAGAAAGATAACATTATTAAATGCATATTTGTTATTTGCTATATTTAAATTGAAATTAAACGAAATGCAATCCAGTTTTGCTCTGGACTCTGTTGCTTTCTGGTGTACAGCCTTGGGCATACTGCTCAAAGGCCAAGTGTAGTTCTTGGGTCAGGAAAGGTACTGCCCTCCCTCTGCAGGCCTTTGGCGGTGACCACTCAAGCTGAAGGTTCATGAAACACTCAGTTGTTTTGTTCCTGATACATGCATGTTTCTTTCTTGTGGCAGAGCATATCCCATCCTTGTCTCATCTGTGCCGCCTGGAGATCCGGTCACTTCTAACAAGTGTTTGTTTGCGATCAGACCAGCACATCCGCCAGTTGCCGATACCCATTTGCCTACAAGACTTTTTACTTTATTTGGATGTATTAAGATCATACTCCATTTCAGAATATTGGCTTAAGCTGGGAGAAGTCTACGAAGGAAGTGCCTTGCCATCTTGTTCTAATTCAGAACGTACAGAAGGGAAAAAGTAGAACTGATGCAAGATCATCAGAGTGCTTAGAGCTTTCAGCCTTTGTAAAAAATGGACTGTGTTCTGTTTACTGGTTGCTGCAAAGGTACCCGTTTCCCTTCTGTCACTCACTGTAGGATTATTTCACTTCAGAGACTAGAAGGGCTTCCTTAGCATGTCCCTCAGTTGTGGTGGATCTGCATTATTCCCAGTCAGCAGTGTTTTGAACACAATGTGGATGCTTTCAGGTAAGTTTCATATGTTGTAAGTTCCCACCCAAAAAATTTAGAATTTCAATAAATAAAAATTGCTTGTAAGTATCGATCGTGCCAGTGATCAGCTGCATCTAAAACAAGCCTTGATGACATCAAAATGACAACTTGTGTGACATGACCTTGTGAAAATGGCAGTCTTTTCATGGTATCATGGTGTCTGACACAAATACTTAAGTCACTCCCTTGGTTGTGATAGTCATCATATATGTGCTGTCATTTGCCCTCCAGTGGATACCCATGACAGCGATCACTCTGAAATTAAAAGAATTTTCTCTGTAACTGTATCATGTTGTTGCCTTTGCTCACAATAATAATGGGAATTTACTAACAATAAATGAACTTTCTGAATGAAGTACATGAATGAATATGTTGCCAGAGATGCCACTGCAGTAGCTCTGTCCTAAATGTCATGCTTCCCCAATCTGGTGTCCTCCAGAAGTGTTGGACTACTATTCTTACCACTGATGGCCAGCATTGCCATTGGCATGATGGTCAAGGAGGAAGGGAATTGTGATTCAGCACAACTGGGGAGCACAAAGTTTGGGGAGGTTGCTATCCTTTCAGTGAAGGAAGCATCCATAGTTAAAATAACTTGATTAAAGACAAGGATCGATCCTGACTGGGACCCTGGAGAGCTGCTGCAAGTCAGAGGAGACAGTATTGGCCTAAATGGATGAATGGTCTGATTCACCGTAAAACAGCTTCCCCTCCCATACAAGATGGTTATGATTCATTTTCAGACATTCCAGCCCCTGGATGATAGTCAAGAACCCTGAAAACGCCGTATTTTCAGTGATGTCTGCAGGGAGGCAAGATGGACAAAAGCAGAGTTGCCGTGTTGTGATGCAAGCCCGGCCTCTTTTCTCTGCGGGTCATGAATTTTAAGAAAAGTGGCAGATTCCTGCAGATGCTGCTGAGTATTTTGTGTGTTGCTGTGACTAAAGAGTGTGGATAGAGTGATCTAATTTGAAGAAGGCTGGAGGGTATCTTTCTCCCAAATTAAGTTAGCAACAGTTATTTCCCAAATAACAAAATCAACAGCGCATAGGTCTGCTGTGTGTATGTTACCATCTCAGCTAAAAATAGCTTGAGACTAGCTCCTGTCCATGCATGTATCCGTGCAAGGGTTGTGTGCTTGTGCAGGACCTTCTTTGTAAAGATTACTTGACACTCGGATTTTGTAGCTGCACTGCTTTGTAGATTTACTAGTATACATATGGCAAAAATTAATGTTTTATTCCAGTGATATGCTGCTCCCGGCTTATGATATTCCCTTCAGGGTTTTTTTCAAGCCTTTTTGTAGAGATCTTGGTTTTTAAAATGTTCTGTCATATATCCAGTATTCCCTGGCAAAAGATCTACAGACCTGCACACACACACACGGGCACATTATGTTTCCAGCTGTTTTTTTTCCCCCAGAGCCCCTGCTCAAATGCTTTCCCCTGACTTTACCTTGCTTCTCTTCTTACAGCCCATAGTTGTTTAGTGCTGGATTTGGATCACAAACAGTTCCCAAATTTCTAAATTTACAGATCAACTCCTTTTACAATGCAATTCTACTCTGGGGAAAAATTGCAGCGAGGCCAGTTTTGTGCTAACAGAAGTGAGCATAAATATTTGATGTATCATTCAGGCTGAAAGCATGGAAGGCGGAAGCAGAGACAGGAACAATGTCTCTGTATTTGCCACACTGCAGTAATATTGTGCTGTGAAACTGGACTTTCTTCTTTTAAAAATCAGATAAATAGATTTCAGTTTGACTCCTCCAAAGGGAGACAGAGGAGGAGGAGGACTGCTGTTTTTCCACATCTAAATGGTACTTACTTGATTTTTTATGCAAGTTATGCTGATCGTATAGCATCATGTTGCGGCGTGCAGCAGAGTGTCAGAGGAGATTTATTTCAAATCCTCGTGGATCCACGAGGTTCAGTGAGAGGGAGAAGAACTCCCAGCTTACTTCATAGGATTGCTAGGAAGATAAAATAGCTGGAAGAAGAATTGTCTGTTCGTTCTGAACTTCTTGGATGAAGACTGGGGTATATAAATGGAATAATACATCTCTAAACCAATCTTTCTGGCTGGGGATGATAGGTATTGTAGTCCAACACATTGGAGAACACTAATTTTTAAAGAATGCTCTAAAACAACCACCACACATGAAGGGGTATGTGAGATCAAGAATCAAGGCATATCATTATGGTTTTATTTTGTGTTTATTTTTTACTTAAATTTATTACGTCACATATCTGTCCAGTGAAGCTCTGTGTGGTGAACCAAAAAATAGGAAACATCAGCAATCAAAACACAAGTCAAGGGTTAAAAATCTCAAAAGACACCCATGTCATATATCCACGCTGGAGCTCCAGTAACTAACAGCCTGGCCCCTGTGCCTGGGGGAAGAGCCAGGTCTTCAGAGCCTTCTAAGAAGGCAGTAGGGTCGGGGCCACCCATATCTCTGGGGTGACGCTATTCCATTATCTCCCAAGTTGAAAATCCAGATCAGTTTTTTAGGTAAAGCAATCCAATTCATACTTTCCAAAAGAAAGCTCTTTTGAGTTTAAGAAGATTTATTCCCAGGTATGTACTTATAAAAAATGCCATCGAGAAGGGCTAAATTCATATGAATCCTCTGACTGTGTTGATGAACATTCAAATAGTGACTCAGTTTTAGTTCACGTTGCTGGCATGCCTTATAATAGAGATGTGCTAAGTGGACAATAAAAAGGCAGGGAGACCAGCCAGTGGTTCATTCTTCCCTAGTACTGGCTCAGAGCAGTAATGGGCCCTTTGGTTTTACTACTAAATGCCCTGTTCTTCCAGGATATGGCATGATTGGATTGAGGCTGGAAAGATGAGAATATACTACTTTGTAGGTGTCCTGACCAGAAAGTCCAGACATCATAAGCACACTGGGGGAAGATGGGCAAAGGCATTTAACTGAACAGGACACACGCAGTGTAATAAAAGAGTGTACTGCTGACTTGCTTATTGCCACTATTCCCTTCCATTTGGAAATGGGCACCTTGTAGTTTTGGAGGCACCAGGAGTGTGGTATAAAATAGGGACCAAAATAGAAGATAAGGATAACGGGTATATGCTGAACATCAGTAGGGGGACAAGTAACAGTTTCCATACCACCTTACATCTTTCCTCACATCGTAAATTTCTGTGTGTTGAGAAACTATTTACTGGCACAGTGAATTTTTTTTATAGTTCATGCTAGAAGGTGAGCTGCTTATTGACTGACAATAAATCCACTTCAGATGCCAGATATCAAGACAGTTAAAACTATGTTCTTGCAGCTGAGGAATGTTCAACATTTGGCTAGGGAATAAACTTCACAAGCTATTTATTTCAAGTCAATAAAGGTCTTCAGATGTCTAGGCCGCCCCATATTAATAGATTACTTTAGTGGAAGAAATACAACACAGGTCTAGTTTTGTTACTGGAAAGAAGAGGGGTGGCAGTGAGCTGCGGGCAGTTATTGACTTGGTAATATAATTGAAAGTTTGTTGGAAAATGACTGGAAATTAATGACATAATTAGTCTAGAAAATCACTATTGCTTGCACAGTGGTGCTATAATCTTTAAAAGCTGTTTATTGTTACTGCATGTTTTGTACGGAGGGTTTGTTTGGGTGGCGGAAGGCAATGTAAAGGAGGGCTATGCATGTGTAACTCATTTTTTTCAAACATGCATCAAGAATAATCATTACCTTACTTATTGACAGAAATGGTTCTTTCAACTTCTACCATTTTTCTTTTTCTTTGATTTCTGTGTTGCTCTTCCAAGAAACCTAGAGCCCTTTACAAGAAAACAATAAAAATGTCTTAAATAAAAGCATCTAATTGAATGTGATAAAGTTTAGGTATAGAAAGTGTAAAAACTAAAACAAAACAAAAACAGCTCACCAAAATAACCAGCAGTCAAAAGCGTGGTCCTAGAATAATTGCTGTCCTACAAGTGCCTTGTGGACTAGACAGGTCTTTAGTTATTTTCTGAAAGAAGAAAAGGTGGTAGCTGCTTGAATCCTGGGAGAGAATTCCTAATTGAGGCCCCACCACTGTCTGGCAAGCCATTATGAGAAGTCCATGGCCAGAAAATGCACTAAAAATGAATATATACACAGATGCATGCATGTATGGTTAATATCTGGTTAAAGTCTAAGAGTCAAATGGGTTGGTATGTCAGCCTCTGAATTCCATAATGCCAATTTCTTCTCTGATTACTATTTATATGTGCAAGAGTAAATACCATCTATGAAAGTAGAGGATTTTTAGCAGGAACAGAGCAGAGAGAAACAAAGCAAGTGTAAAACCATTTGTTTGGATTCCCCATGTGGCACCTCATGGCTGAGTTTACCCAGTACATTAGACTAGACTAAAACACGGTTGTGTAATTTAGGGTATTGGGGGAACTCAGCCACAATCTCAGCATTGTATGAGCCAAGCTACCATGTTATACTGTAATAGGTTTATTTGGAGGGCATAATATATTATGTGAATAGGCCAGTTGTGTTTTGCTATCCCTGGCTTAAAATTTAGAATGTTGAGTTGATGGAACTGCTGTGCATGTGTTTTTTGGAAGGCAATATCGGGGTTGGGATATCAGCAAGGAGTAAATTAGGAATCAGGGCACTATTCAATAATGAGAACCAAAGAGTGAATGGGAACCTACCGGGTATATCTAGAGAAGGTTAAAGTACAATCTATGAGTCACAGCCAAAAGAAAAACCTAGTATACAGAGCCACACTAGAATTCAAGATGATTCAAGAAAAAAATGAGGTGATCGTTGTGGCAAAACTGGGTTTACATAGTCAGAAGTGGCATAATTTCTTCTATGGTTATTTTGTGGATAAATAAATACACTTTTAACAAAATGCTCATTTACAGAGGACCAATTTATAAGCAATTAAAACTTCATTTAACAAAAACATTTAATGATGAAATAATATGAATATAAATGTTTTCTGATTTGAAGTATAATACTCCATGCTTATTTACTGAAGAACAGTTTACTTTTTCAGAAGTCAACTCTTCAACCATTAGTGTCTCTTCTTTTATATAAACCTGATTATTTCCTTTTTATTCCCCTTTCTTATTCAGGCCAGTTGTCAGCTGCCATTTCTCTCACTTTAAGTTCCTTTAATTGTTATCTACAGATTCCATATAAAGATGGGCTTAGTTAAACATTTATTCCCATTACACTAAAGAAACAATCAACCATTTGATCATGATCATCCCAAGCAGCTGGGTTTGGGTGTAACGAAGGGTCCTCATATCTGTGATTTGATTTATTTCTGTATTTTTATTGCCAAGGAAGGGAAGAAAATGCTTGTG